CTACATATTCTAAGCTTTAATGTTAATTAGTGTTAATTTTATTACTACTTTATTAAATAAAAAACTTTTATATATAGAAACTATTGATAATTATTTTCAGATTTTTTTTTATTTTTTTAAAATTTTTTATAAATTTCAGTCATTTTTATTCATGTCTAAATAAAATCTAAATTTTCACTAGATACTATGAAAAACGCTTCTAATTAAAATTATAGATATTGTTTCTGGCCACAATTCCATATAAGATAGTTGATATCTATCTTTAAAATCCATCGATTCCATATGAACAATCATTAAAGATTAAATTTATTGTTTTATTTGAAGTGTAATTTATCTATGTATTTAATTTTAACAAAAAATCGAATCACTTATTTCCCGAACATCGCCGATCATTATCTCTCAATGTCCGATTGAACAACTGTCCGGTGACTTTTAACCACGGGTTTGTCTGACCAAATTCTCATGATTCTTTATTATATAAACAACTTAGAAAAAAATTACTAAATAAGGTAGTCATCCATCAGTCATTTTTGTATAAATTTAAATTTAAAAAGAAAAAAATAAAATACATTATAATTTTTAAATTAATTATTGATTACATACATTGTCACTAATTAAATCATTATTCGCGGATAGATTATTAAAATTATTATGACAAATATTACTTAAAATATCTTTAATATATTTAAAATTATAAACTTGATCTAGTGGAATAATTTTTGTGTTTCCATTACAAAACCCTGACATTATTTTTAGAAAAATAGATCATCCCAGAAAAAACATGTCGGCTGTAAGTTTTTTACGAAATTAACATAATCCTCTACATTGATTAAAAAAAAATTTTACATGTCAGGTAAAAATGACGAACTCTCCAAATACCTTCCCACTTCATTTGGGAAAAAACTTAAAACCAAGATGGTATCCACTGAGGAGGAGGAGGAGGAGGAGGAAGATAATAATGCAGAATTGGATCCTTTGCGATCAATGTTACCTACATCTTTTGGCGTACAAAAAAAACAAAGTATTCAATTAGATGTATTCTCTAAAACGAAACGAATTGACGATAATGAAGAGGTATTAATAATATTTTTTTTTAATATATTATGAATTTTTAATAATGATTTCATTTCTAAATTTTATTCTTTAAGTTATTAATTTATTCCTGACGTTCATAGTTCTTCTTTAATTATGATGTATAGAAAGGGATAAAATTAAATATGACTAATATAATTGAACATCAAAAACATCAAAAACGAGCAAAAGGTAATGAAGGAAAACCATTGCAATCTGGACGATCGAATGAAGAATATGACGACGTAGTAGATGATGATGATGATGATGATGATGAAATTGAAGAAGATGAAGATGAGGATAAGGATACTTTACCGATATCACATGAAATAAAATTGAATGATCATACTAGAGTATGTAATAATGATGATGATGTTAATAATAATGATCATAATAATAATAATAATGATAATAATTAATAATAATGCCAATTCACTCAATCATGCACACATATTTCTCTGACACAAAAAAAAGAGTGTATCAGCTTTAGCATTAGATCCAGCAGGTGCACGACTTATTACAGGTGGATATGATTATGATGTAAAATTTTGGGATTTTGCAGGAATGGATTCAACTTTACGTCCATTTCGAACTATCAAACCATCTGGTGATCATCAAGTAAGTTTTTCTAT